ATAACTTAATTATAAAATTACCTTATTTTTTCAGAAAAAAATCATCTCCCACAAGAAACTCCTTTTCCATGATTAAAGCTAGTTTAGAAACCCGGTTTTATTAAATAAAATAACATTTAACTTTATCTTTGTTGAATTTAATTTTTGAAACCTCATTTTTTGGGACAATAATTACTGTTTTAAATATTTACCATTGGATTGGACATAGCTTTTCGTCAGATTTTTGAACATTCAAAACATTATTTTGCATTTGTTAAATTGTGCAAAAATTGTGCAAATTGTAAAAAGAGCAAACTTTAAGAGTATTCTGATGTTTGTAATATAAAATTTTTAAGATGTTTGAAATCCAAAAAAAAAATTCTAAATGTTCAGAAACGGAAAAAACTTAAAAATCATTAAACAATAAATAACTTTTTCTCGTTCTTTTTTTAAATGAAACAAAAAGCGATATTTATCAAATTATAAATATTAGATTTAAAATTATCAAAAGTAAACTTCAGGCCTTAATATCTCTTCTATCACAGTACAGTACAGTACAGTACAGTACAGTACAGTACAGTACAGTACAGTACAGTACAATACAGTACAGTACAGTACAGTACAGTACAGTACAGTACAGTACAGTACAGTACAGTACAGTACAGTACAGTACAATACAGTACAGTACAGTACAGTACAGTACACTAAATAATCATTTATATCATCAAAAGGTCTTAAAATTAATTTTTAACAAACTAACGGATTGTAAATTTATTTTAATCATTATGTTTTTCAGCAAAGAAATGTTTTTTATTATGATAACATTTAAAGTTTTTATTTTCAAGATTCTCAAATAATAATCTCTATAGAATTGTTTCTGCTCTATGAAGTGCAGGGTTGGAAAAATTTTCAGGCAAAAAATAAAAATGCCAGAAAGCATGCAGAAGATTCAAAGCATAGCTCAGACCTTTCGTGTTGAGCATCTTGGGGACAAACATTGATAATTATCTTCTGTAGATCTACAGAGTTATGCTTAACATCTTGGGGACAAACATTGATAATTATCTTCTGTAGATCTACAGAGTTATACTTAACATCTTGGGGACAAACATTGATAATTATCTTCTGTAGATCTACATAGTTATACTTAACATCTTGGGGACAAACATTGATAATTATCTACAGAGTACTTAATTTCTCTTTAATATCCTGTGGTTGTAATACCCTGCAGGGATAACTTTCATTGAGGCATCAAGCATTGACTCCTCAAATTTAAAAGTGTTCAAATTGGATATCGAGATTAACGGTAATTTACACAAAGTTCTGACCTCTGTTTTGAAGCTCTGCTCTGACCTAATGAAGGATCGGATAATCTTCTCAGGAGTCTAAAAGATCGAGTTTACCTCATTAATTCAAAATTCAAAAGTTTTCAAAACAAATATTTCAATACCAAAAATTGAATAAGACAAATTTACATTTATTTGTTTCATTTTATAGAAAGAAAAGCAAACTAATTGGTGGGGAAATTTTTAATTTTTTATATACAACTTATTTCTGGAAGCATTTTTTTACACTGAAAAAATATGAAATTAAATTTTTAAAATCTTACAAAGTATTTATTTTTTGAAACGTGTTTTTGTGTGGTGAAATAGCATTAAATAATTTCTGTAATGAAAAGTCAACGTAATAAACTTCCTTCTCTAAAATGTTTGACCGAGGAATTATGTATTTTCCAACGATAAAAATGTTTACCAAAAAGAATTGTATTCTAGAGATAACGATTGTTTTCCTCGCGACATCAGATTTTCTATTCGAGAGGAAAGGGACTGTAAACGTAATTTTGAATGGCATGTCCAATTCACAACTCTACCCGGCCCTGAACAGTTTTGTCTGACCGAGAATTAATGAGCTATATGGTCTCACTTTTCAAAATTTGATTATTTTTTATTGTTGTTTCTAAGTGACTCGCGGATTTCTGCTTAAAGAGAAAATGTAGTTAATTGTCAGAATTAAACAATTTTAACCAAGAACAAGAAAGGGTATATTTTGAATCTGCTGCTCTTTAATTGAGGGTCACTTGAAATTACAACGACAGTCGTTAAAATTTAAAAATATTAATTAAAATAATTAAAACATTTTAAGTTTTCTATTTCAGAAAAACTGTCCAATTTCAACAAAGATTTGATCTGAACAGCTCTGCGAGCTTTGAATTATTATTATTATTGTACAGATTTCTTCACGTAAGTACATACATATTTCAATGGTAAAGTTTAAATTTGTTTAGATATTTCGAATATATACTTTTAAAAAAGAAAAAATATTCAAAGTTAACCACAAACAGGCGACATTGATCATTACTCATTATACAACATATTTATCATTTCTTTAGTTATTACGTAATCATCGAATCCTTCAACATATTGATCATTCTTGTATTTATTAGTTCTTGTAAAATCGGAACTTTCCATGCATGGTCCAATGGGACATCAAAATATTTCATTTGCTTCTTAACTAACATTTTACTAAGATCAGATTGAGAATTTTTCTGGTAAAAAATCAGCCATTTAATTTTAAAACTTGAATATTGTTTTTCTGCAAAATCTAAAAATTTTCAGTAGTAAAAATAAAATCACAATTTCCAAAAAAAAATGGATCCCATTATTTTTGCAACCTGATGGCGTAAACCTTTGATATTTCAAAATTATAGTATAAAAGTTGGTTGTTTCTAGTTTGAACTATCAAAGATAAACAACATCAGGTTGTAAAGATTTAGGGATTTTTTGTGGCGAATTTTCCGCTCCTTTCTGAATGAGCGAGAGAAAAGTAGTTTAACATCTCATTGGTGGAAAAAAATATTGTTCTTCAGAACAAATATTTCAAATCAGATATATTATTATTTTAGAATAAATATTTCAAATCAGATATATTATTTTTTTAGAATAAATATTTCAAATCAGATATGTTATTTTTTTAGAATAAATATTTCAAATCAGATATATTATTTGTTTAGGTCTGTTCAAATATTTTAGGATCTTGAATGCAATAGTAAAGATTTTTTTCAGTAAAACCTTTTAGATGAGACCTGTTTGAAATCTCATGCCCGCACTGTTAGGAATACTTAGAATCCTAACATTGCGTTTGATCTTTCCAAAGCTCTGTAAAAATTGGTCCTCTTTTCCTGGATATATTTATGTTCGCTTCTGATTGATTTAAATAAAACAAATGTTTTTACATTGATAAAAATAGTCAAGATTTCACTTTTTACAGTGCGGAATTTTTAAATATATTATTATGAACTTAACAATCAGTGCCAGTAAACAAATTTTCTATTGTATAAAAAGATTAAGAAATTTGAAACTAACCTTTTAAATGTTAAAATTTTTGTGAAAAAAAAATAAAATGTTTCAAATACCTCTTAATCTAACTCGTAATTTGGTTTATCAACAAACATTAAAATAAGAAAATTTCAAGGGTTACAAAACCTTTGAAATTTAATGACCAAGGCTTTCAGATCACTGACTGTAAAAATATTTATTAAACTGAATTTGTAACACTTCAGTGATTCAACTAATTGATTAAAAATTGGCAAAACTCTGATACGTTCGATTATTTTATTTTGTGTCCTGTTTGATAAGTAAAGAATTGTTTACATAAACTTCTGTAGGTTGAAAAAATATTTTCCTATAAAAACTTCTTTCTCTGTTTTTGTATTTTTTCCTTATAAACAGTTAACCTTATGATTTCTGTTCCAATTTTTATTAGAAATGTCGAAAAACTATTTTTTTTGTTATAAACATTTCAGTTCTGCTTAGATAAAAGATGGTATGAGTTATTTATATAGACATTTTGAATAAGAATATTTTTTATCCAAATCAGGGGCGGATACAGGGGGGGGGCAGGACCTTTGCACCCCCTGACGAATTCAGGGGGGTGGGGCGTGGCCCCACCTTGAGATTTCAGAATAGCTCCTCAATAGCACTCAAGGGAAAAAAACCTAGTGCAAAACAGGAAAAATACCTATCTTAAAAAAAATTTCACCTGGCCGACAAGTATTTTGTTCCTAAATCTGGATCTCACTTAAATCCTGTATCCGCCCCTGATCCTAATCGTGCGAAAACCAGCATTGGGGAGGAACTGAACTCAAAAATTAGATTAAGGCGTTTTGGCATTTTCAAGAACATTTATAGACATTACACAAAATAAATCAATATCAATCTTACCTTTATTTGCCCGAATTATAATTTAATTATGTTATTATCAAAATAAATATAAAATCGTGATATATTTCTTTTCATGTGATTGTGAAGTTTTAATGGATCTTTTCTAAATTGTTTAGCAAACATAAATAGGTTTAAGGTTTAAGGATTTACAATATCCGACTGCCTAAAAATCCCCCTCCCCGTGCAATAATGAGCGGAGGTTATTGCGCCCCCCCCCCCCAAATTTCTAATTTTTATTTTTCCAAAACTCAGTTCAAAAGAAATGTTTAGCAATATTAATAACATTCCGAATTTCAACTGAATATTCAAAAGCTTTTGCAAGTCATATTTAGTAAAATTTGCATTGAAGCTTTTTTAGGGGTAAGAAAATGGGAGGGGGGGGGGGGGTGCTAATTTTCATTCCGTTTGCCATATGAACAATTTATACTGTATACAGCAATATTGTATCAAAATATCTGTTATATACTTGCACTTACAGTTTCCGTTAATTAAGTGGGCTGATATAAACGATCGATAATTGAATGTGTATTTACTATTAAATATTGTAGTTGGGGGAGTTGGGGTCTTTGGTATGGTTGGTATTGCTCTATGGGGGCAGGGGGAAATATAAATGCGTGTACATTGACAACGTTTTATCTTAAACTTTTATGTTAATTGCAATTCTTTGAAAGCTGACAATTTCCATTTTCGAGGAGAAAAGTTTACAGACATGCTAAACCATGATTGAGAGATTTTTTAAAAGTTCGTTGAACTTCCTGAAGTAGAAGGGACTTGGAGGAGGTTTGTTTTACTCCAGCAGTGCGCTTCAGGAGGTTTCCAAGATTTAACCGGGGGATTAAAGCTCCGGGTACCGGTGTTTGCGTATCCACACAGCTGATACACCAGACCCGGACCGTTCATAATTCTCCTCCCGGTCTGTCCAGTCCCCCCCACCCGGCCAGGAATTAGTAGACTCCCGTCTGGATAACATGGCGGACCATGGCCTGATAATACCGGAGGCTTCATCAATTAACTACGATGACGACATATCCAGCGACATTGAAGAAGACTCCATGGAGGAACGGAACGGAGCGCTTATAGAGACTCTGCCTGCTATGGTGAGTATCACCCGAGTGCCTAAATCACGCCCTGAAATGAATCCAAGCGGAGGAAAACCTCTACATGTTAAGGGGGGACCTCCCCCACCCCTTCTCCGTGTGGGTCAACCTGTCAGTAGTTTACCCCCCATGCCCCGCCTGAAGCTGGGGGGAGTGCGTGGTACTGGACCTACGCGACCTGTATATCCAGGACATCCTCTGAACGGTATGATGAACATGATGCCGACAAGTATGAGTTTCTCTGAAGGCATGATGATGAACAGGCATCAAATGGGACAGAACATAATGACTAATGCTAGTATGGGAATGCCAATTATAACTGAAACCATGTCTCTACAGGGAATGCGTCCTGGAATGCAAAAATTAGATAGACCTGGCATGCAGCAAAATATGAGGCCTGGCATGCCTAATGGAATGAGAATGGGTATGCGTCCAGGCATGCATCCTGCCTTGATGCAGAGCATCCAGCAGAAGATGCAACATAGCATGATGATGCAGAAAGCCAGTATGCAGCAAAAGCCCAAACCCACCATCAAACAAAAATCGTCTTTTCGGCCGGCAGGTCTTCCTAATCGTCCGGTCCAGGTCCGGACCGTGTTTGTTCCTCCTCCAATGAACATAAAGAGCCAGAGTGGGATTCAGAATGGTGTCACAAGAGTTTTAAATCCGTTCTCTGTCAACCCTGCAGGTTCAAATGGAACAGGAGTAACCCTCACGCAGGTCTCGAATGGAAAATCAGGTAAATTATTTTTTCTAAGCTTTTAAGAACTATTCGGGGGGATTACATTTAATAAATAAAACTTTTATAGATACTTGCATAAAAATAAAAAAAATAATTGTTGTCTAATATAATTTTATATTAAAGGGCATAGCAACGGTTCTGTTAGAGATGATGCTCTCTACGAAGACCTGGATATAGATGATGACGATGATGATGATGGAGTCAATGATGATGAGGATGATGAGTACAATGAGATAACGGAGGCTCCCTCCAATACAGGCTCTATTGTACCAATAAAAAACCTACTCCCAGAAGCTCCCAGAGTATCAGGCTCCGTTACCTTGCATCGACTGCTGGGAGGGAAGGTTAAAGATGAACCTGCTCCGGTTCCCTTACCAGGGGTAGCTTCTATTAAGCTTCCTGATACAAGCAGACGGAATTCTGTTGATTCTGTTGGTTCCTCGAGTACAGCCGCCTCCTTAGATTCCCTGGGTCAGCCTAAACCTGCCACCGCTAGAAAATCTTTTAAACCTAAATCTGATTCAGATCAAATCAAACCAACTGCCAACAATCTGAAGAGAAGTGTAGGATCATTAGAGTCCAACGAGTCTGAGGGATCAGTAAAGAAGCTAAAATCAGATTCAATAGAAGATATGATCTCCTTCAACTTTGGACACCACTTTATGTCTGAGCTGGCCCCAAGGGATACTGAGACGGCCCCGGTTGCAAAGCCAAAACTTGAAGAGGAATTTGAAGAGAAATCTGTAGAATCCTTGATGTTGAAAACCCTCTGTACCTGTGAGGCTGAATCTATCCCTATAGCTGGGAAGGACGGATTAAATTGTCAAGCCGTTGAGGTGGTGGGAGGATACAGGGTGGGATGTAAGAATAAAATTACAAGATCAGAGATTGTTAAAACCTCTCCTGAACTAGATCCTATCAGCCTATGTGATATGCATAGAGATAGACTTCTAACTCATAGCTGTTGCCCACTCTGTGGAGAGTTTTGCAGCCATGGTTTAGTGTTTATGTGCAGAGTCAGTGCCACATCTCCTCCTCATTTATTCCACAGGTTCTGCTACCAGAATAAACCGAAGGAGGAGCGATGCTGTCCCCACTGCTCGTCGAAGAAACCTCCGCTAGCGGTTCAACTCAAAATGACGATGAGCAGAACACCTTTAAGAATTCTCAATCATACCTCCAAGATGAGCGTTATTAAACCAATGAAAGATTTTGAAAAATGGGAAACTAATAAAAAAAGAGAGAGTACAATATCCTACACTCTTCCCTCTGGTAAAACAATAACAGCGGACGGATTACCTCCTGGCTTGGAAACTGAAAAGCTGGAGGCTTGTCTTGAAGAACTGAAGAATAAATCCCTGGTAAAACATACAACCAGGAATATGTACCAACCAACAGCAGGTGGAGAGAACGTTAAACTCCTTCAACTCCTCTCTCTGGATTACAGTCCTAAACAGAAGTTTAGCGAGGCCAACGGAGGAACACCCCTTCATGTTGCAGCCTCGAACAATCACGTGCTGACCGCACATATTCTTGTACAGGCAGGGGCCGAGGTCAACGCGCTTGATGACTCGAATGAAACGCCGTTGATGATTGCCTGCAGTATAGGAAACGCCGATGTGACGAGATATTTACTAGCGGCGGGGGCGAGAGTAGATTTGGCGGGGGACGATGGAATGACAGCTCTTCACTTTGCCACGCAGAATGGACATTTAGGTAATAATTGAAGTATTTATTCAATAAAATTGAATTTCAAAAAATTGCTTAATTTTCTATATTTTTCATTTCATAATTGAAACTTTCAAAAATGTTAATAAATAATTTATAGTTAGTAACTGAATATTTTAAAAATAAACCAACATAAATTTGAAGCTACAAAAACATGGATAGTTTTTATATTACTGTATTTTCCGTTTTGTGTTTTAAAAACTATATTTTTTAGAATGTGCTCATGTTATCTTGAGTCAGAATAAGCTGCCCAGGAACTTCATAAACGTAAAGGATGATGGGGGCTGGACCCCCCTCGTCTGGGCCTGCGAGCACAAGCACGAGGCGGTGATCAGGTACCTCGTGGAGCAGGGAGCGGACCCCTTCGTCAAGGATGTCGAGATGAACATCTCCCTGCACTGGGCCTCCTTCTCCGGGTCCAGGGGGATCACGGACCTTCTCCTAGCCGCAGGGTGCAATGTTAATCAGGCAAACGCCATAGGTAAATATTTCTTGACATTAATAATTTTAATGTTTAAAAAATCCTTGAACCTTATCTGGGTCCCTTAATTTTTCACCATTAAGGAATAAATGGAGTGAACAAGGAATTTTTAGAATAAAAATAAATTCTAAAATATTTCTTGTTGAAGTATAAATTTTTTAAAAATGTGTTAATGCTTAAAAAAAATTATCTTAAAGATTGATGAAAATGATGTACTGAAACCATTTTTTTCCCTTCAGTTTTTATTTCTTAAAATTTTCAAAATTTATGAGTATTAAATGTTTCAGTGAGCTAAAAAAAATCAATCCATTTCATTTATTTTTGGAGGAACTCTGAATTTATATAATTAACATTTGATTAAAAAGATTTAAAACATTAGTTCTGCCAGTACCAGTGGTACCAGTCTTATTTTCCTATCAATTATACTTGACGACGAGTTTTATTTTAAATAAATTTAAATTTTGAAATCGGAATTTAAAAAAATAATATTTTGCGAGTCTTTGATAAATATTTTACTATAAATATCTTATGTGTTTATCCCCAAAATATTTCAAATCTTTTTCCGGAAAAAAATGTTTTGGACCAACATTTTAGTTAAAAATAGAAATAAGAAGTTTTGAAACGCTATTAGAAAAACACTTTTTTGAGCAGGAAGGGGGGGTTGGAGGGGTTCAGAATTATAAGAACCTTGGAAGCTTTTTTCAGTTCTTATTCACCAGAATCCACCTTTTTTCAAATCTAAAATTTACTATGCTAGTTTTAACTAGACATGGAAATATGACACATTCTAGTTCAATTTTCCAATCATTAATTCATTCTTTTAATTTCTGACCAATTCATAATCGTCTTTTTCATTAAATACATGATTGTTTATACAAACATTCGTCTTTAATTCCGAAATATTGAAAACCCTGAAAACTGATAATTCTCATTTAAATTTTTTTCCTTTAAAAAGCTTTTTAAGAAATTTTTGCTTCGCTTTTAAAAATTAATGTAATCTTGGTAATTTCCTAGAGAACGATTTTTGGACCCCCCTCCCCCTCCTATCAATTTTGTACATTGACCTCATATGTATCACATGGATATTATTGGTTATGTGGCCGCAGCGCCCGGCCCTTAGCCTGTTCTAGCCGCAGCGCTCGGCCCAGAAATTGTCTTAACCTAACCTACCCTAAAAAATACAAAATAACTTAAATTAATGGTCATGAACAAGCTAATAGGAGGGCGGGGGGTCTAAAAATCGTATAATAGGACTGACCCTGGAATCATTTTTCCATCTTAAAAATTGAACTTTTACTTTTTTTTAATGATTTATTAATTTTTTAATAATTTTGTGCAGGCGAGACCCCTCTACATATAGCACTTCGACAGGATCATTATGAGTGCGCGCTGCTTCTGATTGCACGTGGAGCTCGTCTTGATATTCCAAACAGTCAAGGACAGGTACAAATGCGCGCAATTCTTTAAGAAAAAATCAAGCTTCATAATGTTTTATTTTTATGAATTTTTGAGGGATTTATTCGCTGAATTGGGATAAATTAACTTTGGAGACAATAATTGAGTTTTTGGATTTAGAGTATCTGTAAAAAAGGTGAAAACCTTGCCATTTCATTTCCAATTTTATATTTTTTTTACCCTAAGCATTAAAAATGGATTTTTTTTGTTTAATTGGGGTTTATACGTTTTCATTGATAAATAATTTAATTACCTGACCTAAAAATAAAACAACTAAATTATTGACTGAATGAGTTACATGAATTGTATTGACGACTTTTTATATTTGTTTAAGAAATATTTATTTTTAGATATATTGATTGTACATTATAAAACCTTAACTGGATTTTTTAGACTTCTTGGTTGATTGATTAATTAATTCATTACTTTATTAATTCATTTTTTGACTTATTGATTGATTGATTAATTCATTACTTTATTAACTATTTTTTTGAATTATTGATTGATTGATTACTTAGATAGTTAATTAATTGATTGATCAACAAGATACTTAATTAATTGATTGATTAACAAGATAATTATTAATTGATTGATTAACAAGATAATTAATAAATTGATTGATTAACAAGAAAATTAATTAATTGATTGATTAACAAGATAATTAATTAATTAATTGATTAACAAGATGACTAATTAATTAATTGATTAACAAGATAATTAATTAATTGATAATTGATTGATTAACAAGATAATTAATTAATTGATTGATTAACAAGATAATTAATTAATTAATTGATTAACAAGATAATTAATTAATTGATTTATTAACAAGACAATTAATTAATTGATTTATTAACAAGACAATTAATTAATTGATTGATTAACAAGATAATTAATTAATTGATTAATTAATTGATTTGTTGATTGATTGAATATATGTTTAGCTGCCGTCTAGTTGTATGTCCGGCGAAAACCCGAAGGTTGAGGCGTTGATCCAGCTGGGGACCACACTGCACAAGCTGATGAAGGAGCGGCAGCAGAAGTTCCTGACGGAGAAGACGGTGGTACAGGATATATCCAACGGGAAGGAAGCTATCCCTGTGTGCGCGGTGAACGGCGAGGATCTGGAAATGGGTCCTTCAGGATACACGTGAGTTTTTACTAAATATATTTCAAATATTTCAGAGGTTGGAGGCCGTATTAAAATTATTTAAATTAAATTTGTTAAATATTGAGAAGTAGTTGCAACTAGTTTTGGCTTTCAAACATTTTTTAGTAAAAGGATTTTGATTAAATGCTACAGTTAAAACGTAAAATGCTGAATTCAAACTAATCGGAAAAAAAGTGTCTTTAAGAAAACCATCTAAAACACGTTTAAAACCGGTTTAAAAGTAACGAAAATGATGAAAAGAAAATAGAAGATCAACAGTTACTTTGTTAAAAGTTACGATAAAAAGTATCATAGAGGGTTAAATTTTATGATAAAAAAGTATCTGAGAGCGAAGTCAAGCTAATCCAAATAAATGAATAGTAAACTTGATGTGCACACTACATTTAGAAAGAATAAATTATCGCTTTATTAGATTTCTGTATACAATTATAACATTTGAAATAGCTATTTTTTCTCATTAAAAAGAATATAAGGACTTTTTTACAAGCTGTCAAAAGTTGTATTTTTTCTTGTTTTTCAGACTTATTAAATCTTTTCTACAATTTTTATTTTGAAAAAAGGAAAAAGGAGAACTATGGAATTAAAATACTAGGATTTCAAATCAACAAATATTCCAAACTTTGATAGAAGATGTACTCAATTCACTCAATTACTCAATAAAACTTCCCTAATTTATCTCTAAAAAAAACTACTGCCTTCAATATCAATGTTAGCTTTAACCAAATATTTTCGAAGAAAAAAAATAAAATCCTCGGAACATTTTTTAAAGCTTTTAAACTGATATGTTTGATGATTGAAAGTGCTTAAGAATACTTAAAATTTTAAATTTTATCGCCGTTATTAACTAACAAAAATATATCCAAAATTTTAAAGGGACTTTTTTCTTGTTTTAAATTTGACTTTAAGACTACTCACATTTTTTTCCCTATTGAGGGGGGGGGGGGGCAGGTTATTGCATGGTGATTATATTGTGTTATGTTGAGGTCCTAAAATATTTTTATTCTAGGTACGTGAAGAATCCTGTTGTAACTGGGAACATTCCCTTGAACCGTGATATCTCAAGTCTCCAGCACTGCAAGTGCAAGAACAACTGTGTATCAGAGGACACCTGCCGCTGCTCCGATATCTCCACAAAGTCCTGGTACGATCAGAACGGGTATCTCAAGGACGGATTCGATTACAACGAGCCTCCGATGATATTCGAGTGCAACGAGATGTGTGAGTGCAATCAGAACTCTTGTAACAACAGGGTGGTTCAACACGGGATCACGGCACGTATCCAGATCTATAAAACCTACGGTATGGGTTGGGGTGCCAAGGCTATGGTTGATATTCCCAAGGGTGGATTTGTGTGCGAGTATGTTGGAGAAATCATTTCTGATGCTGAAGCTGAGCAAAGAGAAAACGACTCTTATCTCTTTGATCTTGAGAATAGAGAGGGAGAAACATTCTGTCTGGATGCAAACAAGTTTGGTAACGTGGCAAGGTTTATTAATCACTCCTGCTCACCCAACCTTGTCCCTGTCAAGGTATTCACCAACCATCAGGACCTTCGCTTCCCCCACATAGCACTCTTCGCCAGTAAACCAATCAAGAGGGGAGATGTGCTTGGATTCGATTACGGTGAGAAATTCTGGGTAATAAAGCATAAATTCTTCACGTGCTGGTGTGGTGGGGAAAAGTGTAAGTACAGCAAGAGCTCTATTGGGAAGACGCTGGAGTCCTATTACAAGAAGATGGAGACCTGTAAGAGCCCTGATGAGGAACAGAAGCAGACTGGAAAGCTAAAGCTAAAGCTAAGGATGGAAGAAGGTAAGGTTGTAAAGGTTGACGACTCTGGTCTACTACCGGACGAACCTGGGGTCAAGGAAGACCGAAGATCCCCGAAACTAGAAGGAAAAAAATCTCCGAAAAGAGAAGACAAGGAGAAGGGTAGAAAATCCCCCAAATTCGAAGAAGGCAAGCCGGGTAAGCAAGACAGAGAAGGGAAAAAGTCTCCTAAGCATGAAGTACGGAAGTCTCCTAAAGAAGATGAGAAGGTATATGAAGACAAGAAAATTACACAAATTGAAGCTGAGATCAGTAAAGAGGATAGAAAATCTCCTGTTATCACAATAAAAAAATCTTCATTTATAGAATATAAACCAAAAGATGAAACTAAACAAGTTATCGCTGCGGAGAAAAGCTCTAAATCTAAGTCCTTGACGGAGAAACCTTCCAAAACCGATGTTTTAAAAACAGTACAAGAGAAATCCACCAAAACGGATGATAAGCCTATAACAGACAAACCCATCAAAACCGATGCTAAACCTGCAAATGAGAACACTACCAAAACTGATGCTAAACCTGTCATTGAGAACCCTACCAAAATCGATGCCACTACAAAAGGTAAAGATCCAGTACCTGGACCAGAAGTAAAGAAACTAAATGCCAGGAGAGTTTCAACTCACAGCATTGAAAGCAAAATTTACAAAGATTTATCAAATTCTAAATCTGACGCCAAACCTGCCTCAACCTCCAAACCAACCCCCTCTATAGAAGAAACCAACCCGTCTACTTCTAAACCTGATACAGATGAAATCCAATCTAAACCTGAACCTGATACAGTATCCATGCAATCCGTAGATGATGATTCTGCTGCTGGAACACCAGAACCTGTTCTTGAATCTGTACCCGAAGCTGAACCCGTCCTAACCTCTTCTCTCACCGCACCAAATTCTCCTTCGGACTCTACTCCAGTAGTTAAAAGAGGCCGAGGACGACCTCCGAAAGGGACTCCTAAATCGGGAACCTCGAAACCAGGGACTCCGAAACCTGGAACTCCTAAACCTGAAACTTCTAGACCTGAAGTTTCCTATCCTGGTTCTCCTAAACCCGGAACCCCAACCTTGGAGACTGGTTTAGAGTCTTTGAAATCAGATTCCCGACCCCCAACTCCCGGAGAAACTGGGAGACCAAAGAGAACAAGAAAAAGCGTTGTTTAAATATGAAATAATATATCAAGATGATTGACAGCTGAGAGCTAATCAATGTATATTTAAAATTTTTGTATATAATATAAATATTTAAAAAAAATTCCTTATTCTCATGATTAAATGTTTGTATAGAAATTTTCGAAAATATTCCGATTTATAAATTTCTTGATCTTCTTTAATTAAACACTTGTTTTTTATACAGTGACATCATCTCCTTTTCAACTCAAGTTATGAATTCAAATCATCTAAACAACATTAGACACAGGAATTGTGCAGTGTAAACAGACTCATTTCACACTTCTTTCCTGGACCAGAGACGGGTTAAAAAAAAGCTCATAAAAAAGCAACCACAGATCTTGAAAGGTGAAGTTATTGAGCTTTCAGAACCATTGAGCAAAAAATCGTATCTGTTCCTTACTACATAACAAATTTTCAGATTACTTTTATTGGTATTTTGGTACAATTTTACTTATTTTTTGGTTGAGTAAAATTAGATTAGTTTCTTCAATCCTTCACCATGTTGGTTCTACTGCAAATACAGAGAAGGATAAATATGTTTTGGAAACTAGAGAATGAGTTCTTTCAGTTTGGTACTGATTATTATTACAAATTTACATGCCTTTTTGTCTTATTCCTGAAAACACGGTATGACATTTTTTAAAGAAATTCAAAAGAAAGCTGGATTACAAATTTCAATACAATCAAGGAACAAAGTAGAACAAAGGAATACAATTTTCTACAAAATCTGCAAGCAATATGTCTTCCTTAAAGAGATAAAATGATGAAAGGGTTGATCGGCACCCCAGCGTGGGTTCGGTGTTCATGGAGCACCGGACCCATGCATTTTTCTGATAGATAAAGGTATTGGAGCCGGTGCTCCTTTACACCATACTCTTAAAGGAGGCCTCCCTCTCAAAGATTTACAAAAGATTACAGTATTTTGTATTTTTCAACTTTTTATGTAGTTTTAATATTTTTTTAGTGATTTAAAATTATTTATAATTTTTACTAGTTTGAATTTTTGTGAAAAAAAAACATTAACAAGGAAAGCCAATGTTCAACAGGATCAAATTGTTATTTTTTTTCGTTAATTTTTTCTCGAGAAACTCTTGGATATCCATTTTAGGTATTAATGTCAGGTTACTGTTAAAACCAAAATCAAAATATAAGATCCTGTAAAACAAAGTTAAAATGTTACTTAAGTTATAAGCTGAAGGGTTTTGTTCTGAGATGTTGGATGGGTCAATCTGCTGAACAATTCAGAGATGATTTCAGGAATGTACCAGATTACCAGATTAAGTTCTTAGTTGAAGCATTTTTTAAAGTGTTCTTTATCAACAAAATTTAAACAAAAAGTTGTGTCAGAAATTTAAATCAACTAATAAAGAGATCCCCGGCTTCGTATTTAGATAGCTCTTTAGTTGAGTTGAGTTGATAAACTTCGTGGTTTGAATGAAAAATCCAATCGTTCCAATGAAAAACTTCATGATTTTAAGGAGAAGCTCCATGGTTAAGATGATAAACTTCATGGTTTGAATGAAAAATCCAATGGTTCCAATAAAAAACTTCATGATTTTAAGGAGAAGCTCCATGGTTAAGATGATAAACTTCATGGTTTGAATGAAAAATCCAATGGTTCCAATAAAAAACTTCATGATTTTAAGGAGAAGCTCCATGGTTAAAATGATAAACTTCATGGTTTGAAAGAAAAACTCCATGGTTCCAAAGAAAAACTTCATGATTTTAGGGAGAAGCTCCAGGGTTTAGATGATAAACTTCATGGTTTGAATGAAGAACTCCATGGTTAAATGAAAAACTCCGTGATTAAGGGACAAATTCTATGGTTTACATGAAAATCTTGGTTTTATTGAAAATAACAAGGTTTAGATGAAAAACTCCGTGGCTAAATGAAAATCTGAATAGTTTACATGAAAATCTCCTTGGTTTTATTGAAAATTAACACGGTTTAGATGAAAAACTCCGTGGCTAAATGAAAAACTTAATAGTTTAAATGAAAACCTCCTTGATTTTAGTGAAAAATAACAAGATTTAGATGAAAAACTCCGTGGTTAAATGAAAAACTTAATAGTTTACATGAAAACCTCCATGATTTTAGTGGAAAATAACAAGGTTTAGATGAAAAACTCCGTGGTTAAATGAAAATCTCAATAGTTTACATGAAAACCTCCATGATTTTAGTGATAAATAACATGGTTTAGATGGAAAAAATCGTGGTTAAATGAAAAACTTAATAGTTTACATGAAAACCTCCATGATTTTAGTGATAAATAACAAGGTTTAGATGAAAAACATCGTGGTTAAACGAAAAACTCAATGGTTTAAATGAAAACCTCCATGATTTTAGTGATAAATAACATGATTTAGATGGAAAACATCGTGGTTGAATGAAAAATTCAATGGTTTAAATGAAAACCTACATGATTTTAGTGATAAATAACACGGTTTAGATATAAAACTCCATGGTATAAATGAAAAATTGCATGGTTAAATGAAAAACTCAATGGTTAAAATGAAAAACTCCATGCTTTGAAAGACAAACTCTAAGTTTGGTTGAAAACCTGCATGGTTTAAATGATAAACACCATGGTTTGAATGAAATGCTTAATGTTTTGACTAAAAACTCCATAATTAATCTAAAAACTCCTTGATTAACCTAAAAACTACATGGTTTAACGAAAAACTTTCTGGTTAAAATGAAAATGTTCAATGGTTTAAATAAAAAATGCCATGTTTCAGATGATAAACTCTAAGGTTTAAGTGATAAATTCAGGGATAGATGAAAATATCTCGATAGTTAAGGAGATAAATTCAAATGTTAAGCTGATATAAACCCTATAGTTCAGGTTAGGTTAGGATATTAAACTCAAGGTTCAGGCAATAAAGTACAGTGTTTAGATTAAAAACTCTATGGTTTAAATGACTATCACCATGGTTTAGATGAACTCTAAGGTTTAGATTATAATCTCCTTGGTTCAATTGGTTAAATTTTCATAGTTTGGCTGAAAACTTCATTGTTCAAGTGCAAAACTCTAAGGTTTAGATAATAATGAAAAGCTCCATGGTTCATGGGATAAACTCTAAGGTTTAGATAATAATGAAAAGCTCCATGGTTCATGGGATAAACTCTAAGGTTTAGATAATAATGAAAAGCTCCATGGTTCATGGGATAAACTCTAAGGTTTAGATAATAATGAAAAGCTCCATGGTTCANCCCATCGTTCACCCCTGATTATAGCAGATTTTTCGATATAACTTCTAAATCGTAAATATTGACATTTTTTTGGCTTTAAGTTTTTAATTTCTACCATCACCTGGGGTCAAGGTCATGTAAGTTGCCACACAAAGAACATGGTTTATCACATGATAATTAAGAAATGTCCTACTTAAAATAAGAAACAAAAACAGGCAAGTTAAGCATTTCAGGATTTTTAAGAAAAAGGTCATAAAAGAAATTAAGGTAAAGAGACAGTGTTAGGAATAGGAACACAAAAGTTATACTAGGCAAGTTATAAGATAGGAGTAAAAATTAAAGAACAAGGAAAGTAATTTGTAAAACATGATCTACTGATCAGGAAATGAAGGTACAGCCTACAGGTTTGTTTCAAAAAAAAGGAAACATACATGTGCGCAAATAAACATCATTCATACTGTATATGAATTAGGAACAATATTCAATAATAGGAACAAAAAGAAAGTTAAGAACAAAAAAATTACTAGTAAAGTTACATGCATGTAAACTAGGAATAATATCATAAGACAAGTCTTCCCTGTCAACTTTCTATTTTCAGAGTTTTTGTTCAATTTTTCAAAATTTTTGTTCTTATTTTACGATTTTTTATAGCTAACTAACCCTGGCTGAAATCCTGGGTCTGCCCCTGTCCGGATGGATCAAGAATCCAGATTAAATCTTAAGTAAACACTGAACAGTTAGGATTAGGAACCATTGGGCCCTACCATGTAAAAAATCATGATTTAGTATTCAATGCTGAAAAGTAAATATATTTCAAATACATCAAATACATAGAGAATAAATAACATTTTTCATATTTAATATTTTCAGGGTATATATTTTTATAAAAAAAAAACCGCAATCTGACTTATTTAATTTCCACAAGTTGAGGTATAACTTTTTTCATTCAAAGGGAGTGATCCCGACAACTAAATGGAGTTATGTAAAATAAATGTTGTTGAAATACCACTGTTTTATTTCTATCCGATGTATCTGTTAAACAATTTAATTTTTGTTTCGAGTATCGTTAATCTTAATCTCTTGATCTTGATAACCAAAGTGGACACTTTCAAATTAGGGGATAAATGCTTGATCCCTAAATTAAAGATATTCCTGCAAAGTTAGACCACCACGGAATATCGAATTTAATTATATGAATTCGAGCTTGATCGATGGTGATCCTTGCTAAGTTACAAAATATCTGATAACAGATAAATCTACGGATTAAAACAAAAAAGTTTTGACCTAAGAACAAACAGAAACATCAGATAGAAATAAAAATTTAATAAATTCAATTTTTTGTCTATAAAGAAAGAAATTCATAAGCTTCCATTTCAGTAGATCCTCTTTCATTTTTTATAACCAATTCCTTTTATAAATATTCTTAGAAAAAAATAAATAGAAAATATGACACTTGGTGTAGAATGGTAAAAATAAAACAATAACATTAAAAATATAAAAACTTAATGCGGTGGTTAAACGAAAATATTGAAAGAAAAAGATAACAATTAATAAATAAAACCCAAGTTAAAGATTACATCATTTTTTTGGTTTGTGGGTCTATTCAGACCAAACTCATTACTCTCGATCCATGCATTTAAAAATTATCAAATCCTTTGAACAAAAAAGGCAAAATGGAAGAACAAAACTAAATTTTTTTGCGGTGATTTTTAAGTATACTTACAATCTTAATGAAAATAAATTCTAAAACAAATTTAAAATACAAGAATTGGAAGATAAAATTCCTGAAGCAAATATTATATTGGTAACTACAGGGGGGACTGATTGATGATACCTTGACTAATGTTGTTTCTCATGTTCAATGCATAATCTTGATTTATCAAATATCAAGATCAAAGATTAGATCGCTTGACATTTCGAAGTTTTTACATCTTTTCTTTGTTCTACGTTTAGTTTTAACCTTGACATTTTTTCCGGTTTCGCTCTGTATAACAACGGTCTCCTCGAAGGATGACGCGAGTCCGCTGTCCTCGTGAGCCTCCTCCATCCACCTGGAGTCGAGACTGGAGGATGTATGGAGGTTTGAATGTTCCAGGGGCTCCATAGAGTCTCCTTCACTCATTCTTCTCTCCACTGCTCTTCTCTTCTTCTCTGCTTTTTTCTTGTTCTTGGCAGTTTTCGCAACTATAGTGGAGTTTATCCTAAACATTAGAACAATAAACTAATTATAATTTTTCAGTGCTTAGGATCTGGATTTATTTTTTTCAGGGCGGATTTAAGATCAGGCCGATCTTCATCAAATTATTAAGGATTCTTAAAATTTACTTTTCTTTTATTTATGAATAATTTTTTTTATTTTTTTGCTTATTGTTATGCTGAGCCTTTTTAGAGATAAATGATTTTAGTTGCTCTGGGGAAAAAGACGAATTGAAAATTCAACTTTTTTTCTTCATCCTATTGGATACTTAAATCACCCCCCTCCCCCCTAAAAAAATCATTACTTTCTCCTGAGTCAGAGAATGAACTGTTAACATTTGATTTTTGCTCCGCACAAACCTACCTTACATATGGGTAAAAAAAAACTATAATTGTAAGAATGATTTCCCCCTGGATGAAAATGTCTCTGAATTGGGGGAAAAGATGCAAATTTTCGAGTAAATATTAAAACCTAAATTTTCATCCCCCCCCCCCCCCCCCCCCCCCCCCCAAGGGGAAATCTAATAACAAAAACCTCTAAATAATAAAACAAAACTTTCATATATAAATGTTCCGTATAGCCGGCCAAACAGCTGGACCGAATGGGCTGAATTTTTCTGTGGACACTAATGGGTAGCCTTGGGGGTAACATTATCTCTCTCGATTTTTTCCCGGTTTTTTTTCCACGGGCAACGCCGGGCCCTTCTGCTAGTTCAGAAATAAAAATCATTCATTTAATGCAAAGAATTTTGGAAAGAATTTTCTTAATCATAAATAATTACTGAATCAACACACTAAATTATTTTAAAGAATTGCATTTTATTATTTATATTTTACAGCTGCAAGTTGAAGTTAATAGATATCATTAAAGTCTAGCCTCTAAGAAATAATTGTCTACTAACCAAATGTGCATTTAACAACCCATCATAACTATTTCTAATTCAAAATATTAAAGCACGGTCGATGTAAGTGACCTCAATTAAAAGAGATAATGCCTGATTAACAGAGGTACCCTTTAACGTTTTAAACCTTAGTCTCAGGGAAATATTAAAAATGTCCTTAGTCCAACTTTAATGAATTTGAGCCGCGTCTCAAATCCGCAGAAAACCGGTTTTAATTGAGCTTCGACTTAAACCTTGAAAAATTTTATACAATTTTGAGTGGAACCAACCATATTTGATCCCCGGCTTAAATTTTAGCCGCAGCTCAAATTCTTTAAATCCGGCCTCTTGTTATTTTCTCTTCCTTAAACTTGACCATTGGGGTCTCAACAAATATGACTTGCGGACAGCAGAGACAAAGAATGAAAATAATAGAAATATTTTTTTTTACACGATTCTCTCGTGCTTAGGATCCGGATCCGCAAAAATATGCGGATCCAAAGTGCAAAATAGTAACCAAAAACTGCCCAAAAAAAATTCTCTCAAAACCCAAATCCTAACTATTGAAAAAAGAGATTATCAAAATTTCCTGATTTTTCCCAGTGCGGATCCAGGATCCGGATCCGCATTTTAAAAAATGATTCCGAAGCACTGAATTCTCGTATAGATTTATATAGGGTTCCTTATATAAATCGGTAATGCAACTCTTAAAATGAAATGTCGCTAGAATTAGATATTACGTCGACTGTCCCTTTAATGATTTAATGATTAGATAAATGTTTAAAAGGAGCTGTAAGCGTAATTTCAAGTGACCCTCCATGCAAAGATGGCATTGCCCAATACGGTTCTCTTAAAAGCATTGCTTGATCAAGTATAAAGTAAATTTCTATGTTTTTGTTACTTTAAACTGTTCAATTTCATTTGTGGTTTCTTGTTCAGATCAAGCAAAAGAGAAATTCACAGAAATAAGACTTTTTGAGTAAGAAAAATGACATTATTCCACTTTTTGATCAGATTCAGGTTTCAATGATACCGTTGTAATGGGAATTTCAATCTTTGCATGGAGGGTCACTTGGAATTACGCTTACAGTCTTCTTTAAAGGTTATCAATGTAACATTTTCATGTATTTTACCTGTATAATTGCTGATGAACCTTCTCACTAAACCTCACAGTTTTCCTGCGCAGAACTCCCTTCTCCTCCACCAGCTTAGCTCCAGGGGAACCCAAGCGCCGGGCAACCCAGTCCTGGTCTGACGCTGTAGACTCCGAGTAGCAGCGGAACCTAGTTCCAGGAACTAGCTGAACCCGTCTTCGTTTAAGGATACCCCGAGGGGGTAGAGCAGACACTCCTTCACTCTTCCCCGGGTCAGTCTCAGATATAGATTGACGAAAACTGTAAGAATAATTATGTAAAATTTATGATTTAAAAACTTAAAACCTGAAATCTAAACCCACAAATTTATTTTTGATAATTTCCATAAACACTTTGTCAAAAAACTTAACAAAAAATATTGATTATGCAGTATGACCCCGATGATGAATTTAAAACGTTGTTATTAATATTGCGCTGACATAGGTCTGGTCGTATCAGCAAACTTATGTAAAATCAAATCCCTTTGGTAAAATAAGATCTACTGACCCCCCCTCCCCTTTTCGTTTATTTTAATGCTGAAACTTTATTATTAATCATTCAGAGATAAGTAAGTTTTTACTGATCTCTTATTTGTAAACAGTGAAGATTTTATATATATATTTTTAAACAGGATTTGGTTGATACTTTGCTCCTTGGATCCGTGGATCTGCATATTTTCTCGAAGATCCGGATATAAGAAGCAATATGCTGCGGATCCAGATCCTAACCACTGTTAAATATACATATTTCCGTCACTCACGTGTTTTGTTTGACTAAATAGAAATCATAAAAATAGTTGGGTTAGCATACGATATCTTGTAGTGCAAACCATTTCCATGATAAGGAAAGTAATCTAAAAAGTTCCCGGCGTGCTCTTTGTCATAACTTGAGAATTAAAACAATTCTAAAACTCCAAGAAAAACCCTTAAGGCAGTGCTTAGGATCCGTATCAGTTGGATCCGCAAGATTTTAGCTCCAAGGGGTAAAATATCAACCAAAAACCGCAAAAAAAACTTTCTTACTCGTAAACCCAAATCTGAACTTTTGAAAAAAGGGAGATTATAAAAATTTCCTCATTTCTGAATGGTTTAGGTTGAAAATAAGCAAAAAAAAATATAACAAAATATGTGAAAATTATTTTTTGATAAAAAAATTCAGTAAATCTTAAAGAAATGTCCTGGATCCGGAACGGGATTTGGATCCATTTTTTTCCAGTGCGGATCCAGGATCCGGATCCGCATCAAAATTAAATCATGTATCCTAAGCATGGGGGGGAATATGTTTTAATTAAGTATATAGTATTTAAATGAGATTTAACCTAGCAAGGTAGTATAGTCTTCATTTTTTCCGTAAGAGATAAATTTTAAAACTATTTTCATCAAAAATTTACAGTTTCGCTTAGCTTTGCTAGTTATTTGAGGAAATGCATTTTTACCGTAATAACTACAGAAGTACATTTCTTTAAGAGAATGTTTTTTGAGATTTACGGAAAAATTAAAAAATGGGACTTAAACTTAGGTCTTAGGAGGTTCTTTTCAAGCTAGCGTTTCCTAACTTATCTTACGATTTACAACGGTGCCCTCCAGTGCTTAGGATCCGGATCCGTTAGATCCGGAAGATTTTGACTTCCTGGATCCGGATCCGCATATTAAATGAGTCATTTGAAAATAAAACCACAGTCCCCTTATAAGATAGATTTCCCTTTTCAGTCAAATTTTTTTTTAAGTTTTAGAAATCTTTGAAATGTGCAATTAAGGAAAGCCTAAATAGGAATATGTCTATCGCTTTCTCAATTCTACCTGTTCATTTCCTCGTCTTCACTCTCTTCAGTCTTAGCAGCTGTATCATCCAGTCTTATTCTATCCATAGGAGATAAAGAGAAGCTTGAGTCTAAACTCTCTCCGGAGCTTGGTCCTTCATCCATCCTCTTCTCATCCTCATCCTCGTCCTCAACCTTCTCCTCCTTCTTCATCATCTTCTTAGGGTGCTTTTCATGCAGGTATTTAGGCTTCTTAGTTTTACTCAATAAATCCTAAAAGCATATTACATTCGATTTAATTGGTTTAAGCCCTGAACAGACTCGAGTCTTTGCCCCCCCCCCCCTCCCATTTAGTTATCTTCTTGAAATTTCTCTAATTAAATATTGTAATTTTAAGGATTTTTTGTAGTTTCTTTTTAAAGCAATGATTAAAATTTTAAAAACGCCATTAAAAAATCAATAAGTAAAACATCATTATCATGCATCACATGTTATAAAATATTTAAAAAAATATTTTTTGAATATTATGAAAACCTCAAAAGCAACCAAACTATCAAAGTTAGTGGTCGATATTTAAAATGAGCTAGCTTTAAAAAATTGGGCCATGAACATATATTACAGATTTACACGTTAACATTGGGAGGGGGGGGGGGCGGGGCGGTAGGGCTCCCTCCGTCAAAACTTTAGGTTCAGAACCCACCCCTATAAAGACTGGCAAAACCCTACAAATTTAAAATGAAAAATCTACATTTGCAAATGAACAAAAATATTTGTAATATAAATGATTTAACTAAATATTTTCACAAATCATCTATATAGGGATTACTGGATTACTGGAATAGTTTTCGCTGGGAGATCCCTTTTGTGCCATTTTAGCGAGTCAGTTGATCTTTTTTGTTTCTACCGATAGTGCATTAAGTTAAACCAGGGATCTGGGCGCCCCTGACACCTTCACCAAGGATCTTTTGTTCAAGATAGAAAGAATTAACTAAGAATATTAAAAGTTAAACAAATATGTTAAACAGAAAAAAATTTGTTAAAAATAAAAAGAATAAGTGTGCCCCAGATAAAGAGAGGGGAAATATTTAAATACTAGGCTTTCAGGGCGCTTCGCGCCCATTTTCTATTTAAATTGTGAACATGTTCTTTATGTTTACATTTTAAAACAAAGAAGAAATTTTTTTTGCGGATTTAAAAAAAAAATTCGCGGATTTTCAAGATTTTTTTTTTTTACAATATTTAAAACCTTTAAAACACATTTTTTTTATCATTCATAAACCTTCTCTGTGGTCACGTGATTTCCCACAAAAACGATCGGTTCAGCCGTTTTGACGTTTATTGGATACAAACAAACAGACAGACAAAAAGACAAGCCAAATTTTTATTTCTGGAAAAAATGAACAAATCGTAGGAGGTAAGGGGGTGGGGGTATGTAGCCTTACAACTTCGCACCCCCTAAAAAAAGTAATTATCTCCCAATCAATTCTCCCTCAAAAAAGGTAATTTGTAACGGTTTTCGGAGTAGAATATAAAACAATATGTAGCTATAATAAAGGGAAGAAAATAGAGAAAATAAAACTATGGAAGGGAAAATAATCACCTCATCTCTAAGATTAAGTTCTGTCATTCCAGTTTTCTCAAGCACATATTCCTTCTCCTTTATCTCTTCCTGCGCCAACCCTACCCTGAACACACTCAACCCCTTGGAGTAGGGGACCTGGAGAACAATATTGTTATCCCAGCACTCAACCTCGAGATCCTCAAGGTTGAACGAGGTTGAATCCGATGTGCTCTTAAACTCGAGATAAAATGCAAAATAAACTGGAAATTGTCCAGCACCTATACTTGTAAACATCAACTGTACTGCAGGTTTATCCTGTACAGCTGAATACTCTATAGACTGGGGAGACACGTTCTTAGCCTCTAAGGTGAACATTATTACTTTGTCTTGGACAAAGTGAGTAAAATTTGGAAATATATAAGATTTGGTTTGATCTAAAACACTTTTCACGTTAGTCCTGTATTCGTTTATCAACTGCGGGTTTTCTATAGAACCTTCACTATCTTCACAATTCTGTACGGAACCTTGAGAACTAGTTTCCGTACTACTTTCACAAACTGGAGATTTTTTAACCTCCTCCATGGATTCGACACTGTCTCTGTTTCTAAACCCGTGTTCGTCCAACCCTATCCCGCTGTCGTTGGAGCTCAACCTCTCCGCCTTCACCACCTTCACGGGGAGGCTCACGCTCAGAGTCTTCCGAGACTTGTCAAACTTAGCCGTACCTTGATTTTCATCTATAGGGTAGGGTAGGGTCACCAGGAGATAATGTTTAGGTTTAGTTTCTTTCTTTAAACTTAAACTCTGCTCCTGAACATCAAGATCTACTCCTGCAGCGGAGTCGAGGAGGGGTAGCTCAACCTCAACAACAAGCTCCTTGGGCCGACTAGATAGAACTTCATCCTTAGATAGGATGATATGGTCCTGGATATCTGAACAGGATCGGTAACGAATGATATATTTAGGACAGACAACATCTTTTTCACTAGATTCGTCAATCTTTGTCATGGTTTCCATGGCCGACGGTTGAATAGGTTTCCTTATCACAGTTGGACGAAATATTCCTTTAAATTTAAGTTTTGGAAAGACAACTTGAGATCTATCAACATTGACGTTAAACGAGGTTTTTAGCGCATCGAGAGCCGTGGCGTGAACCAACTCCTTTATCCTCCCATCCTTAGAGGCCAGGTACAGGGTGTCAGGGTGAAATATCACATCGAAGACGGTGCACGGAGCGCCCTGATTATCAATATCTTCCCTAGGTTGGGAGAGAGAATAGGGTATAGACCATTTTAAACCAGTTTGTCCCCCTTCATTTCCAACCTCACTGATGGGTTTGTCAACCTGCTTCTCGCTACAGATGTTGACAAAGACCTTCTTTTTGGTGTTAACCTCTACCACCTTCAGAACGTACCCGGGTGTAGGATGTACGAAGGTTACATTAAATCCACGTTCGATCTCTAATTGCGTAATTTCAGCCTCGTAACGTTCCTTGGTTTTTGGATCGTTAAGTTCCCTGGCATAGTCAGCGAGTAGTTTCACAAATGTTTCATCTTTCAGAGCTTTCTGAATCTTAGAAACTTCATTTTCAGTAAAGTCAAAGTTTTCTTGAGTGTTTCTAGAACGTGCGGCCATGATGTTTTGAAAGGCTGAGTGTGGCGGCTGCTCAGTGATGGATGGTCTACAGACCGCTTCAGCTCTTTACTCCTTGTATTCCCCTACCGGTCTGGGTCTGGCTAGCTAGGCCATTTAAGACCGGTTAGGGTCATATTCTGTACCGGACAGGATTAAGTTCCGTACCGGCAAGTTTCTCTTTACAAATAATCGACCAATCCCCTCCAAGTTTTCTGTAACTATGCAGAACACAATTGGTGGATTTCTGAATTGCGTTGTTAAAAAAATATGAGATAATTTTCAAAGTTTCATTTTTAAAAATTTGACCGGCTTGCAGCAACGTCATTTCGTGTACAAAAAAAAACTTTTCACTTCATGGCTAATTTGGCTGTCAAAAATTACAGAACTCGCACGCGCGCATGACAGAATGCTTCAGTCTATTGGAATAACTTTCATTTGGACTATAAATATTATAAAGGACTATAGTCCAAATGAACAGATATTTTTCTAAATAAACTAGTTCTAAAGATTTTTAAGATATTCACAAATTAATTATTTAAAATTAAATTGAAGACGATCCAAAATTGATTGAATGCCCCGCAAATTTTCCAATCCCGCCAAATTTCAAAACTGTAATGATTTCTTCTTAACAACTTTATTCAATACAAAACAAATCAACAATAGTATTTTTCATTTATAGAATCATAGAGAAAAACGTCTCGTTCTACCTATTTTATTAAGATAATTTGCAAGCGTAGTTGCAGACTTTTCATCTTTAAATTGAAATGTGAACATGAACAGAACTCCAGTATGTAATTTAAAAATTATTTATGTATTATATATTGCAAACGTAGTTGCAACTGAATGACAATTTTCATCTATACATCTATATGAATAAAAGAGAAAAAATAACAAAGCAACAGAAAGGACATAAAAATATCTAGAGTACTGGAAAACCGAAAAAATGGGAAATGACTTTTCATCTTATTTTTAGAAAAAAATTATAAACAAATCAAAGAAAAAACAAAAAAACACCCAGATATAGACTTTTCATCCATGAATCGAATAGAGTGAGAGAAACCGATCAAAAGTATCAAAAATAGCAAAAATAGGAAAAAAGAAGAAAATATATCGAAACTTCAAAAATGCTTGTAGGTCTCAAGCTTATAAATCAACAGTATATGTAATGATTTCGGTGGAAAGGCATGGCGAAATGCGACAAGGGATGAAAAGCGGCTCCGAGTTTTAATTCAAGTAAAGACGACGGAAGACTGGATTTGGGTGTTTCGCCGCGTCGTTCTTGGTAAACTCGGACATGCTCGATTCCCGGGTCGCATAACGACATGCTTGTACACCGAATTCTTCATTTTTCGCGAAGTATCTCACAATCTCAAAAACGAAGCGAAAAATCAAAACAGAAATCAGAATTAACAGATTTTTAATTTGAATTTTGCCAGACCAGATTCAGAGCCAATAAATCCTGGGTAATTTCCTAGAGACCGATTTTTGAGCCCCCCGCCCCCCCTCATCAATTTTGTACATGCATCTCATATGAAACACAAGGATTAAGTTAGTGGCCGCAGCGCCCGCCCCATAGCCTGTTCTAGCCACGGTGCTCGGCCCCGTAGCCTGTCCTAGCCACAGCGCTAAGCCCAGAAAGTGTGTTAACGTAACCCTAAATATATACTGATTTTGTTGGAAATTGTTGAAAAGGTCATGTACAAAATTGAAAGGTGGAGTGAAGGGGGCGGGGGTCCAAAAATCGTTCTCTAGGACAGACCCAAATCCTGCACGTAATCATCTCATGATGTAGTGAGATCTAGCGTTTTAAATAGTGTGATATGTTGATTGAGGTTTTGTCACAAGTAGTTAGTACCGGACGTTTTACTAACTGAGCTACTAACAAACGTGACAAAATTTTACCATTTTCCTTTGAATTTATTTCAGATTTTGGAAATGCAAAGAGGGAATAAAAAGGATAGAAAATCCTGGACGGAAGGTCCTGTGAGGATGAGTGTGGGAGGTAGGTCCATTTCCGTTATCCATTATTTTTCTAGAACTACTTGTGATCTAAACCAGATTATAGCGGTAAATTCTCATAAAATGTAACGAATTATTTTTGTAAGGGAGGACGAGTGGAGCCGGGAAGGAAAGGACGAGCAGGGGCACAGAAAGGACGAGCAGGGGATCTGAGAATACTGGCTCTAAACTGCCTGTTAGTAAAATTGCCAAGACAAAGAATCAGGTAGTTATAGGATTGATTATTTGAATTCAAGGGGTGCACATCTGGTTTTCTCCCCCCACCCGATCACCCCGTAGTAGATATGTGTATGCGCAGAGTTCCATTCACTGAATTAGGATCGAAAGATGATTAAATTTTTGAAAAATAGGAAGGTCCTTATTTTTGAATTCTACTTCTTCTACCAGGGTTTTTTTTTACATACGTAGTTCCTAAAAATTACATAATAATATACATTATACAATCAGCGGGGTTATACAGAAAGGGGTCTATCTCTGGTCTAAGTCCCCCCCTCCCCTTGGCCCCACCTTAGAAAAGTTTTACGATATTTTGTATTCTAGAATGACGGAAAATCAATGGTTAGAAGTAACTCAATGTTTGATCGACCCAGAGCAGATCAGGCCAGATCATCCAGCAGTTCAAGGACTCCTATGTCGGGTAAATTTAAATATATATTTAAAAAGTAGTAAGCTCTGATTGTTTGTCCGATCATAACTAATAAATCCCTTGACCGATTTCCCCCAAACTTTGATTGGGGAACTCGGTGGAACCACGGTTAAGTAAAGAAAGTTCAGTTTCCACTTTCCAGGCAATGCTGGGTTCCCAAGCCAGTATTAAATTGTCATTTATAGCCTTAGATTTTTGACACCATTAGCTCGACTCTCAATTTATTAAAAACGATAATTAACAAGATTTTTTTTGGTGGTGGGGGGGGGGGAGGGAATCCTAATCAATGAATGTAGAACCAATAAGGGGGGGGGGTCCTAACTGATACGAATTTATGTCAATTCCTAATAAAGCGAATATTTATGATTTGTAATAAAAAATTGTATCGGTCTAATCCAAGACCTCGACAAATTAAATCAGCGGTTTTCGATAGTTTTTTATAAACAATATCAGAATAAGTTTAATGATAAATTAAAAAAATTAAAGCGTCGTTAAACAGTTTTTAACGGCAAAATAAATTAAAAAGAATTTACTTTTAGGAAACCCTACAATTCTTCAGCAAAAAGCAGAGTTTCTGGACGCGGATCTACCATAGGTTAGTTCTGTTGAGATTTTATCAGCTCTTTTAAGAATCCAATTTCATGTTATATTATCAAAATCCAAAGGAGAGGGTGAGTTTGACCCATTTGAATATATTTGGGAATCCTGTCTTCATATTTGTGGAATCTGAGTGAAATTTTGTATATGGACATTTTTTGTGTTTCTTTCAAGTAAAATAAAAAAATGTTGAAAAAAATATTTTCCCCAAAAAATGGGAAAAGGGGGGAGGGAAATATTTTTTCCCTCTTTTTAATTTGTTTTACAAAAATACTATCCAATTGAGGTTTGTGTGCAAAAGATTTAATTTTATTTTCGATGACAAATTAATTCTTGAATCCAGAAACTAGTGTAAAAAATATTAAAAAAGTGGGAAAATATGAGAAAATAGGTGATCTGGAAAACCTTAAACTTCGTACTGATGTTAGCAATTGGAATTTTGACTAACAAGAAGGTTGTTTATAACACCAGCTTGTCTTTGAATCTGACTTCTTGGTAATAAAGCTTCAAAAAACATGGAAAAAGTAGGAAAAAGGGGGGAACAAATATTTTTTCGCCCCTTTTTATTTTGTTAAACACCTAGCTGGTCTTTAAATCAGACTTTTTGATGAAAAAGCTTTAAAAAATATGGAAAATTGGGGAAAAGGGGGGGGGGAAATATGTTTAATTTTTAAAAAAAAATCTCGCTGAAAAGAAACACAAATGATGCCCATATGCAAAATTTCATTCAGATTCCTCAAAACTCACCCTCCCCTTTATAGGATTTTTTTTCATTTTTAAATTCAAATTTTTATATTCAAATTTGGATTTGATCAAATCTATTTTAAAGTTTAATTAATTTTTATAATTTAGGATCAATTAGCGTTAGAGACACAAGACCATTGTCAGATAAAACTTACCAGAGTAGCTTAGTCAGAAGAATACTGGATTTTCTCAGGTTAGTAATTCTTATTTAGGTTAATAACTCCTTAGGTTAATAACTCTTAGTTAGGTTTATAACTCTTAGTTAGGTTTATAACTATGTTAATAACTCTTTCTTAGGTTAATAACTCTTTCTTAGGTAAATTACTCCTAGTTAGGTTAATAATTCTTAGTTACTTAGGTTATTAACTCTTTCCTAGGTTAATAACTCTTTCTTAGGTTGATGACTCTTTCTTAGGTTGATGACTCTTTCTTAGGTTAATGACTCTTTCTTAGGTTAATAACTCTTTCTTAGGCTAATAACTCTTTCTTAGGTTAATAACTCTTTCTTAGGTTAATAGCTCTTTCTTTGGTTAGTAACTCTTTCTTAGGTTAATAGCTCTTTCTTAGGTTAATAACTCCTATTTAGGTTAATAACTCCTATTTGGGTTAATAACTCCTAGTTATTTTAATAGCTCCTAGTTAGGTTAATAACTCCTAGTTAGGTTAATAACTCCTAGTTAGGTTAATAACTCCTAGTTAGGTTAATAACCATAGAGAATAGAATATATAGAGAGGAATTAAAAGAATCTCTAGGTATGAATTTTTTCAGTCCCTTTCAGCCTGAAAGGGAGTTCAAAGTGTACAAATTATGTAAATGTTCACAAATTATATGCAGTAGAGTACATTAATACAGTATGTTCCCTAGACTATCCATTTCAATTTCTAATTTTTTAAACTGTTAAATAAACTTTATAATGAATTAGGTGAATAAAAACATCATTTGATTTATAGTTATAACGGAAAAATCGTTTGTAAAGTGGAAGGCATAGAGTCTATGTGAAATGATCATTGGTCAATTATGAAACCAGCCTATTTCATAATTTGGTTTTCTTTTAACAATAATTTTAGATTTTCTATAAAATGATATTCCAGGGCCCAACAGGTTATATAGCATAAATATGTAAAGTACGCCTGCAGTATGGAAACAGTACAACAAAATGGCCGTTTTACACTTTTTTCCAGTAAATTCCTCTCTATATATTCTATTCTCTATGTTGATAACTCTTTCTTAGGTTCACAACTAACTCTTAGTAAGATTTAATAACTCTTATTAAGGTTAATAACTCCTAGTTACGGTAGTAACTCTTAGTAAGATTAACATCTCTAAGTTAGGGTAATAACTTTTTGTAAGATTAATAACTCTTGATTAATAACTCTTTTTTAGGTTAATAATTTTTTCTTGGGTTAATTACTTTTTTAGCTTAATAGCTGTTTCTTAGTTAATACCTCTTTGCTCAGGTTAATAACTTGATTTTAATAACTCTTTTTTAGGTTTTATACTATTTATTAATAGAGAACAAATACAGGAATATTATGATAATCTTATGATCGGATACAGAAATATTTTTTATTCAGGGAGAACGGATCAAGAAATATTATTTATTAGGATAACCGATACTGAAATATTATTTATAAAGAGAGAACGGATACATAAATATTACTTATAAGGACAAAGGATACAGAAATATTATTTCTTCAGGGATACAGAAATATTATTAATTAAGAGAGAACAGGTACAGAAATATTATTTATTAAAAGAGAACGGATACAGAAATATTAATTATTAAGGGAGAAAGGAGGCAGAAATATCATTCATTAAGTGAGAACGGATGCAGAAATATTATTAATTAAGAGAGAACGGATACAGAAATATTATTTTTTTATTAGAGAACGGATACAGAAATATAATTTATTAAGGGAGAACGGATACAGAAATATAATTTATTAAGGGAGAACGGATGCAGAAATATTATTTATTAAGGGAGAACGGATACAGAAATATTGTTAATTAAGAGAGAACGGATACAAAAATATTATTTATTAAGGGAGAACGGATACAGAAATATTATTTATTAAGAGAGAACGGATACAGAAATATTATTTATTAAGAGAGAACGGATACAGAAATATTATTTACTATGATCGGATACAGAAACGTCATCTATTAAGGGAGAACGGATACAGAAATGATGCATTAACCTCGAAACACTTCCCTCTCTCTACGAAGGAGTTCACGGATATATTCAACTTCACTTACAGGGATATTATTCAGAGCCATTTTTTGTCCCTGCTGAAAAGGTTTTGTTCCCGTCGGGCTTTTTATCTGTTAAATTGTAAAAATTATTATTTTTTTTCCCTATTTAATTGGTTCTTCAAAATACCCACATAGCCACAGATAATTAAAGGGACTGAACACGTTATTTCATGTGACCCTCCATATCTATTTAGTAGCATGTCCAATTCACAACGGTTCCCTTAATTTAATTTAAGAAATGACTAACTGATCCCCTTAAAAGCTGTGTTATCAAGTATGAATTAGATATCAATGTTAATCATTTTGAAAACCAGTTTTTTTTTATTGGAACTTGTGCATTTCTACTCTGGGTAGAAAAACGACGTTATAGTTCACACAATTGATCAGATAAAGGTTTTATGGGTACCGTTAGAATGGAGGGACATTAGATATTACATCGACAATCTCTTAGAGTGCCTAATTCTTGATAAATATTGTTATTGTATTTTCGTAACCGTTCATTGGCCAAGAGAAGATGTTTGTTTACCCAGCTTCATAATATATGCATCAAGTATTTTTCTCAATTCGTCACCTTAGGAAGGGTTCTTGTCTCAGATAAATTGGAACTCTATTTAATAAATATTGAACAGTTTTATAAATCCTGATGTACCGAGTGTTCTGCCCTACAGTAAAGCCGAGGATTTGATCACAAATATTCTCAAGAATGAACTCAATTATCCAGGTCAGTAACTAGACATAGTTAAACTACGTAAATTAAGCTACGTAAATTGGTGCAAATTGTTCAAAGTTCTGTGTACTGGTTAACCTAATATCGAAAAAAATTATTCAGCTCCTTAAATTTTTTATCTATTTATTTTATCATGCCCAATGAAATAAAATGGTACGAGACATAGATTATAGTTACATTTATTTGTTCATGTAGTCCTTAAAAAATAATTATAATTATATCTCTGTTTTAGAAAAAGATATATGTTATAATGTTTTTTTTTCCAAAGCCCAAAATTTCTTTAAATCCGGGGAAAACAGTTAGGGTCGGGAGGATTTGTCAATATTCTATCAATAATGTTGTTAAAGGAACGATCAGCAAAAGTAACCTAATTACTATGGGTTCTCTGCACAGTTGGCCAACAGTTCTAGGCTGTCTTTCTTTTCTAGTAGAAAGTGCAAAGGTGCATCTAAAGGTAAAGAATTTAAGGGTATTCATTCTCCTACTCCCTTTCAAAATCTTTCCCTATCTGTTAGATCTAAAAACATAAAATTATATTTATCACATATGTTAAAATCTTTTTTTAAATCACTTTTTTACAAAAAAAAACGAATTCCTGAGCGCTCCTTATACAAGTGACCCCTTATCAGTCTCTTAATATAGGGATTCATCAAGAGATTTTGTGGCCAGTGTAAGACTTCTCTTTTGGGACGATTTTCTGGAATATAAGGCCATGACTGGCAAGTTTGATGGACTTGAGTCTAAATATTGTCAATTGGCATTTTTAGTGTGTAATTTTGTGTACACTGTTCAGTGCAGTGCCTAGGATTAAGTTTATTTTGATCCAGATCCGATCACCCGGATCCGGATCTTTCCTAGTAAAAATATTGATCCGGATATCGGGTCATTTACATTTCTTTAAGATTAACTGGTTTGTTTTTAACAAAGAATTTTTCTTCCTTTTTTGGCTTCTTTTTATGCTATGACTCAATGACCGTCTCTAGACCCTACTGAAGTCTAGGGCGCCAATCATTAAAGACAGCCATTTATGGCTTGATTTTGGTCCTGTTACAAACATTATATGTTAAGACAAATTTTTTTATTTCTCATTCTTTAACAGTTCATTTTTGGGCTTTGAGAGAAATAAAAAAAAACATATTTTTGCGGATCCGGATCAAGGAAACCAAAACATTGCGGATCCTAAGCACTGTATTACAATGTTCACCCTGATAAAATCCTAAATGAACCCCCGTCTCAATACATTATTAATAATTATTATTTTTATTAAACTGAACTTCTGGGGGATTTTTAATCCCCTTATGAAGCCACACCCTTCAGTACTTCCCCTCACGATACGTGTACAATCACGCCTGGGGTCGTCTGTTTGAAAACCGCATAGGGCATGTTCTATTATTGAACCCTGGATGTAAGCGTACCGGGTATTTGGATTATCGGGAACCTGAGTAAGCCGAGCCCCTAGGTTGACATCCACCAACCCAACCACCCCTAATTGGGCCATTGGCCCTGTACAAAGGACGGTTTGTTTCTATGTAAAATCAACATGGACTTTCTCAATTACTTGAGTTTGGTCTGGCATATGGTAATAGACACACCTCCTTGAACTGAAGGGGCACAATTTCAATCAATCTTTTCAAGGTTTCCGGAAATATTATTCCGATTGCATTTCCGTGCAAGGATGAACAAGGATTCCCAATAGACAGGTAAAATAAATTCCTTCAAATTCATAATCATAAATTTTCCGGACCCCACCCCTTCTTGAGAAGAAATTTTTCCATGTTGTAGAAAAGTAACATATGCGGTTTTAAATTTTAAGGTTTTCCCGCTGAATTTTTGGGAAAAGAATGAACTTTCACGTAAAAGTGTAAAAAATGGTGGAAAACTTGTCAGCCGATATGTTCAATTTTTATTTTATCTCGGTATTTTCCCATGACTGCTTTATTCTGTCTTTTTCTTTTCGTTTTCCTATGGGGGGTCAAAGCTAGATGTTTTAACCTACAACTAAAGGGACTGTAGACGTAATTTCAAGTGACCCTCAATTTGTGAGCGGTATGCCCGACTCACCTTTGAAACCTTGATCTGATCAATATTGTGGAAGGTTTGAAACCTTGATCTGATCAATATTGTGGAAGGTCGTTTCTCTTGCTTGACAACTTCTTAATTTTAATAATTTCCTTTCATTGTTTCTGCAATCCGCAAGTCTATTTTGAATAAAATAAACAAATTAATTTTTAAAGAGATAAACATGGATATCTTATTCATCCTTGATCAGACAAAGGTTTTTAAGTACCGTTGTAAATCGGGTATACCACTCTATAGGAGGGTCGCTGAAAAAACGTTTACACAGTCAATTAAAAAATGCCTGTTTAGAGAATCCAAGGATAAGATGAGGATGGAGTACTTCACGAAGACCTACAACATGTTTATGCGTGAATACGACGAGTATCCTGAAGAGGAAGTGGAGTACAAGGATAGACTCCAGGATAATCTAGAGGTAGGTGTACTTAATTCTAAAAACCAATTCAGTGCTGTTGATTTTAAAAAGATTTGAATTTTAGACTGAAATATAAAAAATAATAAAATATGTCCTAGATCGACATTCATCAGCTGAAACGACTGGATGAGGAAGTTAGAGCCTTACATGAGAAGAACGAGCAGCTTAAAGCTGAAGCTCAGGAGTAAGTTTTCTTTTTGTTCGACATTTTTTCAGGGTTTTATCATATTCGGGTGAGGGGGAGGAAAAGTATGATTTTGACGTATGCTTGCTAGTATTTCTTCCTAGATTTAAAACTTTCAGAATTATTTGGATTTCAGAAGTATTTCAACCTTGATTTAGTATTAAAGTCATCTCAAATGAAACGATTTTTGATAATTTGATCTTCAGATTACGTGAGATGAAGGAGAGCCTGGAGAAGGTTCTACTAGATCAGAAGAAGGTGGAACAATACCACCACAATCTAATCAAGAAAAAGTAAGAATAAAAAGACATACAGTGAGACTCTTAAAACTGTATAAGAGAAAGACGATTTTTAGGATTAAGAAATGATTTTAGATAATCCAATTAACATAAAACACAGCAACTGAGCAGTTCACTCCAAAAGTTTCTAGCCACCGGTAAAACTATTTGCTTAAAACAACATCAAATACACATAAGATTGCTTACTTGTCGTCTTCCTAATCTACAGTTTTCTGAGGCTCACCATAGAATGTTTAAAAATATTTTTTTTTAAAGTTTCGCGGATTTTTCTGTGAGCATTGATGCATTTTTGCATTGATGCAATTTTAATTTGGTCATGTGATACACTACATGATTACATTTACTAGACACAAACAAACAGACCAGCAAAATAATATTTGAACCTGATCGGTTCAGGCCATTGAATGCTGGGTTATCCTTAAATGATAATAATAATAATAATAATAATTTCGAGATCTGATCTGGAGATCAAGCAGGAGCAGTTGAAGATGTACCTGGAGGAGGTGAACAAGAAGCTGGAGAACATGGAGCAGACACTCAACCAGCTCAAAGAGGAGAACAGGTTTCCCAATATTTCAGGGGATATTAAGGTGTCCCTAAAATTCCCAGATTTCACTTATTTGAAGAAAAATCTTCAAAAATACGCCATTAAAACCAAAAAGTTCGTTGGTTAAATAGTTTAGTGTAGACGTAAAGGACGAATGGGATATCCTTATTTTTCTATCTGTAAATTAATTATTTTCAATTATGATTTTTTTAAAGTGACTTACGGTTTTATGCTGCAGAGACAACAGTGTAAATTGAAAGAATTAAAAACTTTTTAAGTTATAAGATAGAGTTTTAATGGGTTCGGAGTTTTTTTTTAACGCAGGGACTCTTAAAATTACGTTTCTAGTTTAATGTGAACTGTAAAGGTGTTTCGGAAATATAGGGGTAAACCTGGAGCTTCAAGCAGAGAGGCAAAGAAGTATACTACAAACAGAAGAACTCATTAAACAACTTCAAAGTGACAAATGGCAGCTTGAATTAGAGGTAGAAGTTTGAATAATTACAGTGTTTAGGCTTTTAAATTTTTTGGTACACTGCACAGGATACTGGTCTAGGTGGGACAGGATTCATGTTTAGAACAGGATACTGGTTTAGGTAGGACAGGATTCATGTTTAGGACAGGATACTGGTCTAGGTGGGACAGGATATTGGTTTAGGTAGGACAGGAGGAAACTAGTTTAGGTAGGACAGGAAGATACTGATTTAGGTAAGACAGGAGGATACTGGTTTAGTTAGGACAGGAGGATACTGGTTTAGTTAGGACAGGAGGATACTGGTTTAGGTAGGACAGTAGGACACTGGTTTAGGTAGGACAGGAGGATACTGGTTTAGGTAGGACAGGAGGATACTAGTTTAGGAAGGACAGGAGGATACTGGTTTAGGTAGGACAGGAGGATACTGGTTTACCTAGGACAGGAGGATACTGGTTTAGGTAGGACAGGATATTGGTTTAGGTAGGACATGATACTGGTTTAGGTAGAACAGGATACTGGTTTAGGTGGGACAGGATACTGGTTTAGTGAGGACATGATACTAGTTTAGGTAGAACAGGATACTGGTTTAGGTAGGACATGATACTGGTTTAGGTAGGACAGGATACTGGTTTAGGTAGAACAGGATACTGGTTTAGGTAGAACAGGATACTGGTTTAGGTAGGACAGGATACTGGTTTAGGTAGAACAGGATACTGGTTTAGGTAGAACAGGATACTGGTTTAGGTGGGACAGGATATTGTTTTAGGTAGAACGGGATACTGGTTTAGGTGGCACAGGATACTGGTTTAGGTAAAACAGGATACTGGTTTAGGTAGGACAGGATTTGGTTTAGGTAGGACAGGAGGATACTGGTTTAGTTAGGACAGGAGGATACTGGTTTAGTTAGGACAGGAGGATACTGGTATAGGTAGGACAAGAGCATCATAGTTTAGGTAGGACAGGAGGGTAATGGTTTAGTTAGGACAGGAGGATACTGGTTTAGGTAGGACAGGAGGATACTAGTTTAGGAAGGACAGGAGGATACTGGTTTAGGTAGGACAGGAGGATACTGGTTTACCTAGGACAGGAGGATACTGGTTTAGGTAGGACAGGATATTGGTTTAGGTAGGACATGATACTGGTTTAGGTAGAACAGGATACTGGTTTAGTTGGGACAGGATACTGGTTTAGTGAGGACATGATACTAGTTTAGGTAGAACAGGATACTGGTTTAGGTAGGACATGATACTGGTTTAGGTAGGACAGGATACTGGTTTAGGTAGAACAGTATACTGGTTTAGGTAGAACAGGATACTGGTTTAGGTAGAACAGGATACTGGGTTGAATGATATATATCTAGATATACCGTGACCTGGATAGTATAGAGAAGATCTGCCGTGAGTGTAATACTATCAGTATGGAGATAGGGTTAAAGTCTGGGGAAGAATTCCTTACTCTCCCTACACCAGGTATAAAATTTTAAAAAATGTACACCTGTTTCTAACGTTGATATGGGTAAATTAACAAATTAAAGGGTGGTAAGGAGCGTCGACACCTATTTCATTGAATGATAGTTTTTCTGCTATTTTTTCCAGGTCTACGAAAATTTCTTTGTATTTAACTGAGCCAGATTTTAAGAAGAGTAGACTAAAAACAAGAACCCAAACTTAGTTTTTATATAACTTATTTCTGCGGATATCTAGCAACAGAAACAATGATGAAATTTTGAAATTTTAACCCTTCAATCTATGAGAATCAACAGATAACGGTTAAAAGTGTATTGTTGTGAATTACAACTGTAGTCCCTTTAACGCTGGATGTTGTAGGTGTGAAGGACGGGACGGTTACCAGGCCTCCAGGTTTATCAACAATACAGACAGAGCTCTCCAGCCTAGAAAAAGAGTTGAAGAGTCAGAACCAGGTGGAGAACCAGGAGATAAACAAGATTAAAACCAGACTAGAAGCTAATCAGGGTTGGCTGAATTCTGCTCTGAAGAAGTCCACTGATTTAAAGGTATCTCATGCTTAGATTCAGATTTAGATTTTTTTGTAATTGGTTTTGTTCGGGATTTGATTTGTACTGGGATTTGATTTGTATTGGGATTTGATTTGTATTGGGATTTGATTTGTACTGGGACTTGATTTGTATCGGGATTTGATTTGTACTGGGATTTTTTTTTTACTGGGGTTTGATTTGTTCTGGGATTTGATTTGTATTGGGATTTGATTTGTATTGGGATTTGATTTGTACTGGGATTTGATTTGTATTGGGATTTGATTTGTACTGGGATTTGATTTGTATTGGGATTTGATTTGTACTGGGATTTGATTTGTATTGGGATTTGAGTTGTATTGGGATTTGATTTGTACTTGGATTTGATTTGTATTGGGATTTGATTTGTACTTGGATTTGATTTGTATTGGGATTTGATTTGTACTGGGATTTGATTTGTATTGGGATTTGATTTGTATTTGGATTTACTTGATTGGGTTTGGATTTGGATTTGGGTTCGATTGGTATTCAATTTGTTGGGATTTGTGTTGGGATTCTATTTGTTTTGGAATTTGTATGTGCGTTTTCAGGATAAGCTGCGTGAGGTTGAGGAAACCCTAGTAGAGAAGAAGGCAAGGATTGAAAAAGAAGAGTCAACTCTCGACCAAAAAATTTCATCCTTGAAGTCTCAGATGCTTCAGCTGAGAAGTGATTCACAGGTTTAATTTTCTAAATTTGTAGACACCCCTCTAATCATTTTCATCGTTCAGGAACTAAAATGTGATCTACTGTGATATTTATCATTAACAACTTATTTTTCTCTCTTAAAGTGATTTTCTCGTTGTAATTTCAATTTATTCTTCATTCTAAGAGGGGCATGTCCGATTCACATCGGTTCCTATTAAACCTTTATATTATAAATAATGAGAAATAGCGGTTTCTAAATTAGAACAATTTAAGTAGCTTTTTCAGAATTAAAAAACATTGATGTTTCATTCATCCTTCTTGATTAGAAGCTTTTAAGTTGAAACTCCAGAGAGCCCCGGGAGTTGATGGAATAACCGTCTCAATGCTGAGATATGCTGGTCCTCTATTCGTAGCCCTAATGACAGACCTAGTCAACCAAATACTGAGAGAAGGGCAAGTTCCAGAGGCACTCACTGTTTCGTGTGTGATGCTTAGTGTTATCACAAAGGTTCTGCATGGGAGAATGGATAAGATATGCGAGTCAAAAGGATATTATGGTAATAATAGATAGATAGATAGATGGATATGTTGATTAAGAATAAGGTATCCACAGGTTGACATTTGTTTTTAGAGTACCATTAATCTTGGAACTCTTGATCTTGATATCTAATGTGGACACTTTTAAAATTTAAGGATACTTGCTGGCTCCCACAGGGATGCAGTGTATGACCACCATCAGTATCAGATGGAGATCAATGCTTAATCCTGAAATTCACAGCACAAAACTTCTGATTTCAGATGTATTATGAGTTAGGCCTTTCCAGTCTACATGACAAGTGGCCTTGATTTTGATGTTTTAAGAAGGTCGTGTGCAATTTGGGGAAATAAACATATTTTTTCAGTTTTGGTTATGTAAAAATTCCCTTATTGAACAAAATGTAAAAAAAACATAATTGGTAATAGGGTGTTTCTCAAGAGAATCATTTTCTAGAGTAAAATAGGCTTATTAATTTTATTCGTCGTCAAATAAAAATATTTACTATTTACTCTGTTGATTTAGGCTCTAAAGATGGCCAAAGAACATGTGGCGTCAAATATGGAAGTTCTGGAGAGGGCAAAGAAAAAGGTTCAGAACCGGGTGAGTGATAATCATTAAAATAGTATTTTTTAGTGATCAAGATACTTTTGTAGGAGTGGGGGGGGGGGCGCTATTTCATTTTGATTTGAATCCAGCTGATCTCTTTCATCAAAAACAAATATAAAAATAATTTTTTTTCTTATTTTTATGTCTAATGAACTATGAAGGTTTTAATGATATCTCTTTAATTTACACTTAAAATGTGTGTTTTTTGAGCAAAAAGTAATTATAGTTGTTTAATATTTTGTCCCTTGGATCCGGATCCATGGATCCACATATCCAGCGAGCTCTATGTTGCGGACCTTAAGGAACCCTCTTCCTAAACATTGCTTTTTCATTACTTTTAATATTAATGTAGCTGTGTTTTTTTTAGAAAAAGAAGCATGATGTTGAGAAAGCTTTAAAGGATCTTCTTGGAATTGAAGAAGAACTTAACCAGGTCTTAAAGAGATAATTAAATAATAATAACAATTGAACAAAACTACAAGTCAAATACAAGAATATAAAATACTGCTTTTCACATCACTTCAAAATATTAAAGGAATAATTAAATAATCTTAACAATTGAACAAAACTACAAGTCAAATACAAGAATATAAAATAAAGCTTTTCACATCACTTCAAAATATTAAAGGAATAATTAAATAATTATAACAATTGAACAAAACTACAAGTCAAATACAAGAATATAAAATACAGCTTTTCACATCACTTCAAAATATTTTTGACCGAAAAAGAAAACCCATTTGCAACATTTTGCTTGATCATTTCTGAAATTTTTGTAAGATTAAATTGATAGATCTGGTTTAGTTTAGTTTAGTTTAGTTTTTGGATTACTCCAAAGACCTCAAAAGGAGCCTAGTATAAGTTACAGTGGTTAACATAATAAATCTGCTTTATTTTACTATCCTTCTGAAGTTCTGATAGTTGATAAAGCAGATTTGCTAAATTCTTTCACTTTGGCAAAAATTTCCAAAAGTCTTTTAAAATTTTTATATAGTGCCCAGTCAGGGGTTTAAGGAAGTTTTGATCAGGCGAGGGAATAACTAAAATGTAGAAATGGAAAGATATAGTTTTTAATTTAAATCCCCAAATTAAAAGTGCCTTCTTGCGTTTTCGCAGATTTTTATTTACAATTTTTTTCAATGTTTTGGTTGATATTTTGCAACTTGGATCTGGATCCAGAGAAACATTTATCTGATCAATAGTGTGGAAGATATTGTCGTTTTTCTAGATTTAAAAGTGTTTAATTTTGACAATTCAAATATTTTTTTTTCTGCGGTAGAGATGCGCAAGAAACTTTTCTAAAGAACACATAATTGAAAATTTTCTGTGTTCAAAATTATAAAAATTAAAATATAATTCATACTTAATCAAAAAAAGCTTTTAAAGTTGTAGATCATGGAACAAAGTCAACAATTAATTTTAATGACGTAATTAAAAACTAAAAACTATTTTAGGCTGTCTCTAGAGCGGAGAGTCTTCTTAGAAATACTGAATGAAGTCTTGCTGTCAACAATACTTAAAGATACGATTTGATCTCGCAAAATATTTGTATTTAAAGAAGTATATGGGTTCATCTTGGATTGATCGGGTGAACATTTTAAATTCAGAAAAATGCCACTTGACAAAATTTTGAAACGTAAAACAAAGCTTTCTCCATCATTTTGCTTACCGGTTAAAATCGGGCTTGTGACTCATAAAATGTTGGGTCACATGAAATTAGGAGCCACTTGGTGTTTAAGATGATTGTTTCAAATTGTATTCTATTTTATTAATACCCTTTCCTACGAAGTTACCTGTATTTTTGTATTAGTATATGTATAATAATTGATATTAATATCATGTTTAGCTGAAGTGCAAAATTGATAATTAATCAAGCTGATTGAAAAAATGCTCTTTTGAAAGATTTAAAAAAAAATAACATTTCAGATTTGAACAATGGAGATAAAGAAGAATAGTGCGGGTTTCTACAGAAGATTACATGGAGAGACAAAATATTGCGGATTACCACCTTCCCAAGATCTAACGAATCCTCCAACATATTGACGAGTCATTCAATACATTTACTTCTTGATAAATGGTGGAAAAGATTAAAATGAGATCATTGGAGCTGTATCTTAAGATGTTGTCAGCATCTGGAATTCTCTTAAACAACAAAATCTCAACCCCGAAGAACATGCTAGATATAAAGCAACTTTACTCAGTTGTAATAAACACGGAATGAAGCTTCAGGGGAAAAAAAGATTTCTCAGGATTTAGACAAGCTTTTTGTTACAGCAAGCTGTTCTTCCAAGCCCAAGCTTCGATTGTTCCCAGTAAGGATATACCTGTCAGGTGCAAGATTGAAAATGGCAAACAGAAGCACATTCTCTGCCTTTGTAAAGAAGGCAAAAGGTTAATATAAATTCTATAAAATATACTTTGTTTGTTTGTTTGTTTGTTTGTTTGTTTGTTTGTTTGTTTGTTGATTTGTTGATTTGATTTGTTTGTTACAAGAGTTCTGATATATTACTTTTATTCTAAGAACAACAGCAATAAAATGCATGTTTTATTATTCATCAATTTTAAATATAAGATTTGCACTTTTTTATATATTTTATCTATATATATATATATATATATATATATATATATATATATAGATATAAAATACGTATTACGTTTTATCATGTTATAATGTTTTATTGGGCTTTTCGCATCCTTGTTCTAGTAACAATTTTAACTTTTGAATTTGGTGGATTGTCTAAAATT